CAACAATGGCGACAAACGATTTTGACAAGCGTTAATGTCTCTCATTGGCGATTGGTACCATTGTTACATATGCTGAAAATTCTCAGACACACAAACGCGCAAGAACACACGCAAAAACACACACACACACACAAACACACACACACTGACTCACACAAATACACACAACACATATACAAACACACACACACAAACACACACACTGACTCACACAAATATACACAACACATATACAAACACACACACACACACACACACACGTACAAACCCATATATAGATTTTTACATTGCAAACGTACGTAAATTTCAGCCACATGGTTTAATAATAATGTAATGTGGGTGCAAGGTGAGCATAGGATGCAGATTAACTCGCTGAAATAAGTTTGTAATGGAGTTTTAACTCTGAAAAAGTTATTATTACATTGTGGAACCATTTCTCAAGAAATGGCTTTTTTTGGAAAATAAAAGCAATCAAAGATCCCAATCGGGTAAAGAGAATCGATGTTTTCTCGTCGGTATGTCGGTATATCAATTGAATATGTGTGCGTGTGCGTGTGCGTGCGTGAGTGAGCTCGCGTATTTTTAAAGTTTTAAAAACTGCAAAAAACACACACCGTATCGTTGATTTGGACTCGATCGGATCTATACGTAAATAAGATTGTTATTTCGAAAGTTTTGTGAATCGATTTTGTACGAATATGTTGCGCTGTTGTGTTAGTTTTTATGTATGTGTGTGTGTATGTCTGTGTGTGTGTGTGTGTGTGTGTGCGTGTGTGTGTTTTTATTTTTTAAATTTGCATCTATTATATTTGAGCGGACATTTTTATAGCATGATCAATCATGAAATTTTGTTTCAACGTTTCAAATGATTGATTGATTATCATGAGCACTGAAGCTTTCGGAACGTTGTAAATAATGAATGAATGAATGAATGAATGAATGAATGAATGAATGAATGAATGAATGAATGAATGAATGAATGAATGAATGAATGAATGAATGAATGAATGAATGAATGAATGAACGAACGAACGAACGAACGAAGGAATGAACGAAAGAACAAACAAATTGAGCAGCACACATTAACTGCTCGCCTATGAGTTATCGAAATTATTAATTAGCGGTCCTATGAATGATGTTTTTGTTGCATATTTCAAATTTAAAATATAAATCAATAAAGCCAGAGTACCTGGTAATAAATGGTATCGATACAAAAACACATTTAATAAACAAACATACAGAACATGTACAACGAACATACAAAATGTGTACACAAAGAATATACACACACACACATCATATAAAATAAATGTGCAGGCATATAAAAACCACTAAATTGTACATATGCGATACACGTACATAAAAAAGCAAAAAGAGACAGAGAAAGAGAGAGAAAGAGCGAGAGAGAGAAACAGAGAGAGAGAGAGACAGAGAGAGAGAGACAGAGAGAAAAGAGGGAAAGGTTAGCGCCAGAATATATTGACGCATGTCATGCATATTGTCTACTGGCGCCAGAGATCCTCCAGATTAGCTACGTCAATTTATTTACTCCTTTTGACGCCTTGCTTCAAAAGCATTCGACAGCACGCTACGTCTCTTCGTCTCCGTTCCTTCGTCTTTGTCTCTTTTTCTTTCTATCATTCTCTATGTGTGTGTGTGCGTGCATGTGTGTGTGAATGAGAGAGAGAGAGAGAGAGAGAGAGTTGTTGTTTTTGTGCGCAATAACAGTGTTCGTTCGTTCGTTGTCTGTTAATTTGTGCGTGTTAGAATATAAAAATTTTTCTGTTATCAAGTGCATGTGTGTATTTGCTGATGTAAGTGCGTGTATGTGTTTGCCAATGCGTGCGTGCGTGTGTGCGTGCGTGTGTGCATGTGATTTAAAATGATGTACGTGAACAAATTTATTTATTTATCATTCGTGCTTCTTGGCATAAAAATATGTTAAAAATTTTAAACTCCTTCTACGCCGTCTGCATAATTTCCTTTCCATTTTATACCGCGTTATTCTTCCCTCCTTGTCCTTCTTCTTCATCCTCTCTTCCCTCCCTTATTAGACTTGCCTCTCGTATGTTGTCGGATTGAGACGAATGCATCATGTGTTGGAGGACTGATGGTACGGTAACATTGAATCGTTTGTATGTATTAATGTGAATGTACGCATTATGTATTCATATGTATGTATCATTGTGTGCAGTTTTTTGTACTGTGTATCATTATGTACAGTTGTATGTACTGTGTATTATTGTGTACAGTTGTATGTACTGTGTATCATTGTGTACAGTTGTATGTACTGTGTATCATTGTGTACAGTTGTATGTACTGTGTATCATTGTGTACAGTTGTATGTACTGTGTATCATTGTGTACAGTTGTATGTACTGTGTATCATTGTGTACAGTTGTATGTACTGTGTATCATTGTGTACAGTTGTATGTATGTATCACGTGTGTCAGCTGCTGTTGCATCTCAACTGTCTGTTCATAACCATCGCCGATCCCTTGTAAATACATTTTATTATTTATTATTACTCCTTATTGGCATGGCAGACTGATTCAACATTTTTTCATCGTACATTTTTTATTATAATTCTCTCCATCAGAATATCATTCACTCACTCACACACGCACGCACACACACACACACACACACACGCACACGCATACATTCACATGAATGCTACATTAGACACGTTCCCCTATTATTTGTTTAACACGTTACGGCCTGGATTTCGATTGCATTTTTTGTGGTGGCTGGCTGGATGGATGGATGGATTTTCGTTCGTTTCATCTCTTTCATTTTTTGTTATTTGTTTTCTTTCTTTTTTGTTCTTTTTTTTCGAAATGCAGGTAAGTGGCGCACCGTTCGGTTTTTGTTTCAGATTGAAACTTTTGAACGTAAAAGCTTTTGCGCAATTATATCATCAACTAAAATTATTCATCGTCACGATCACCACCACCACCTCCGAGAACATGCCCCCCCCACCTAACACATCATCATCTCTCTCGAAAGCGACCATGTTCATGTTATATATTTTTTTTCATTTCACGGGAAATCAATTAGATGCGCGCGCACGTAAAATAGTAACAATTTTCATTTTGTTCGTATACGGCCATTCGTTCGAACCTACACGTGTGTATATTATATACCTCTCACTCTTTCTCCCTTTCTCTCTCTCTCTTTCTCTCTCTCTCTCTCTCTCTCTTTCTTTCTCTCCATCTATCTATCTATCTTCTTATATATCTCTCCCCCATCACACACGCAAGTCGCGTGAACTTCAATCCTTATGAATAAGACTCGCATGAAAGGCATCACCTCTGGTTATACACAAAACTGAATGAATGAATGAATTAATTTAATTATTTATTTATAAATTAATTATGTTAATCAGGTTCATTAATATTCACGGGCACACAGTCGTAGTCGTTAAATGTGCGATTAAATTGTCAATGTAACACTTTTATACAAGTTGTCCTTGGGCACCGTTGTATATGGATGGATGTATCTGTGCGTGTGTGTGTATGCGCGCGTGTGTAGGTACGTGTTTGTAAGTATATATACATAATATACATTTTTTTTTAAATAATCAAGTCCAGAAAAACGTTTGCAAACATTATGAAACCGTGCTATACAAATTGAATTAATTGATGTATCGATTGGTTTACTAGAGCAGCGATCAACAAAGTTAGTATATGATATGATATGACCCCACACGTTACAATGCCTCATCTGCCTTATGTATGTATCTGTGTGCGTGTGTGTGTGTGTGTGTGCATGTGTGTGTGTGTGTGTGTGTGCGTGTGTGTGCTCTGATCTGCTAGTCAATATTTGTAAAGCTTAACTAAACGTCTGTCTCTTTCTATCAATCTCTCTCTCTCTCTCTCTCTCTCTCTCTCTCTCTCTCTCTTTCTGTGACTGTGTGTTTCTCTGCCCATCCGTTTGTTTGTTTATTACGTTGTGTGTGTTTTTTTCATGTTTGTTCACTTTTGTGTACGAACGTGCAAATTTGCGTGGGCGTGTGTCTTCATGTCGACGCGTGGGTGTTTGGGTTATTTGTGTGTGTGTGTGTGTGTGTGTGTGTGTGTGTAAGTGTGTGTGTGGGGGGGCGAGAGGGGGTAGTTTGTTATTTACATTTCATATCATCATCGTCATCTTCATTGTCATCATCGCCGTCATAAATATTTTTATTATCATCATAAACTTTAAAAAATCGATAAGTAGCAGGATCGATGATGATAATTATGAATGACACTCTTTGACATTCAAACTTGGACGCTATGATATGATATCATCATCATCATCATCGTCATTATCATCATCATCATCATCGTCATTATCATCATCATCATCCTCATCATCATCATCATCCTCATCCTCATCATCATCATCATCATCATCATCATCATCATCATCAATTTTTCTTGCATGATAGGTCGTAGGTTACTCGTATCATATAGATACAAATAAATAAAAAAACATCATACCCAGCTGACATTGGCTGTATGAAATTAATTATTTATTAATAATTTATATAATTAATATATAATTAATTAATTATAGTAATCATTAAATAATCATTTTGGTTATACCCATACCCATACCCATACCCATATATACCCATACCATATCATACCCAGCTGACATTGGTTGTATTAAATTAATTAATTAATTAATTGGTTATTATTTCACAATTATTAACCGATTCGATAGGGATGAGCTTGACCTTTGAACTATCTAGCAGACAGACCATGTGACTCGTTACGTCATTACTAGTTTGAAAATGTAAATATGCTATATGATAATGATGTTTATTATACTGGTTTGGTGCATTTTGAATTAGGGAAATAAATAATAATAATAATTATTATAATAATAATAACAACAACAACAACAATAATAATAATAACAATTAAATTGTCATAATCATTAAGTTGTTATTGTAAACGCTAATTACAGCAATTTTTATTCACTGAGATTTTATTATTGACACTACTATCGCCGCTA